GCCGGTTCCGGGCCGGGCCGCCCGACCCGAGTCCAGCACTACTTAAAAGTATGAATGGAATCAGAATATGAGTATAAAAAATTTGTCTCGACCTAACCTATAAAATATTGCTTTTAAAAGCAGTTTAGAGCACTTATAAGCATTTCTACACCTTCATTCAAACCCTCTACAACATAGTTCTACTTTGTGACAAGGCCTAGCCGCCTAGGATTAAGTAATGTAGAAATTAAAGAAAAGGTAGAGATGTTCTTGTTGTACACAGTTTAATACTCACTTTATACCCACCAAGCCACCATGTCTGTGAGGAGTTATTTTTTGCCTATGAATCATAGACAAAATAATTATCATAGACATATTTTGTTTGTGACTGAGATTCACAGACAAAAAAACCCTCACAGACATACTGGGTACAAAAGTGGATATATATAAGAGTGTGTACAAATAATTTCTTTTGTTTTTTAAAAAAAGTATACTGTGTGAGGATGTTTGGCGTAGATAAATATCACCTTCGGTTTTTATATAATAAAATAATACGGAGTAATTCGTATTAATTCTGCATTTTTCTTAGTTGTCAGATTTGATGTCCTGGCAAATAGATAAATGGGGTATAGTATGGTCGTCTGGGAAGAAAATTATGTGAAGAGGAGGAGAAAGGTAGTTTTGGATCTGTACGATTGCGTGGAATAATCGGACGTGCGTTCACACCACTTTTTTAGACAAAAAAACAATGCACCCATGTAACAAATTTCCTCATTGGCGATCCATTATTTTGAAAATGCACCCATTATTGGCGCACCAATAGTTAGATTCTGATCATAGGATTATACAAAGTACTCATAGGGCACATTATGCACTTGCACTCATAACAGCAACAGATTCTGATCAAACAACCATTGGCCATTGTCCAAAACACGATTCATGTCAACAATATGATAAAACTTTATGACATACCGTTTTTGGCCAATTTCTTTAATCGAGACCCCCTTGCCTGGACACCAAAGAGCCGACATTAGGTCTCTGAAGATTTAAAACTTCACCACCTTATGCGTGAGTAATTTGCCGATCACCGGAAAGGTTTTCACACTGCTTTCCTCTGTCCTGGCAACACATTCATCATCATCATCAAGCACCAACTTGTCCGCCGTTGAGCCTAGTCCCATACAATCGTATTGACCTATTAGCTGTTCCATCTGACCTATAGTTTCTTGCGCCGTAACTGCGTTGCCTCCTGCTTGCCACGACCTATATGTCGTCTCCTTACTCGCGTTCGTAGCCATGCCATGGGAACGATACTCTCCGTATTCGCTGACTAAGAAAGCCACACTCAACGGAGGAAAACTAAAACCCTAGGGACCCGTTTACTTTTCCGTTATACACACTGCTAGCTTAGTAAGCCGTATGAAGTAAACGATTTTAATGGTTAATTCCATGGCTAGTAAGCAGAGGGGCCCCTTAAAGCACCGGTTAATAAACCGACGCCCCCCATCTATTAGTAAAGGGAAAAGGGGCAAAAAAACCCTTCAAGTTGTCATCAAAGGGCATCTAAGCCCTTAGACTATTTTTGTGTGCAAAAAGCTTCAAAATAAGTGAAAGGAGGGCAATTATCCCCTTATTAACGGAAGCACTTAACGGATGTTGTTCTTTTGGTTATTATGTTCGTATCTAACACAATTTTAATTCGGCAGTATTGCTGATATGTTTTTTTCATTTCAGCGGACAGTTGGTACTCTATTAACTAAATAAATCTAGAACATTTTGATCCTAAAATCAGGACATATTTCCTCTCTTTTTAAATAAATACTACATGTTGAATTTTACAAAATTCAAATGATCAACTTTAACTACACTTTTTTTTATTAATGTATTAATAAATTATTGTATTTGCAAATATTTTTAAATTTGTCTCATTATAAATTTTCATTTTTTTTATTAATAGAGAATTATACTCGCTTCGCGAGTCTCAAAATAATTTTTTTTTCAAACAATTTGTAGTTCACAACGAGCCCGTTTGGTAGCACAAAAATCGACTGATTTGGCTGATTCTGCTGAAATTTATGAAGTTCTGGTTGAAGTAGCTGCATCAGCTGATTCTGCTAATTCAAGGAAAAAATTGTTTTAGAAAACATATTTTATTAATACAAAAAAGAAAAAAATATATATGTAAAAATAGTTAAAATGATCATCTACAATAATTTCAACCAATACATCTAGAGAAGTAACTCTAACCTCACTTTTCTGCTTATTACACAACTCAGCGAGTGAAAGCAAAAGTTACGTGTTTGGTGAAAAAGTTGGCTGATAAGCCGGAAAAAGTGTTGTCAAGCGGCCTCAACATGTTTTACACATTTTTACACGTTTCTCTCTCTTCAGTACAATGCTCTACCACACAATTTTTCCTTTCTTCAATCCCATCCAAACCCAACTTTGGAAGATAACTCAAGGACGAATTGAGTATATATTAATGGTCAAAGTTATGCATTGATAAATATGAAAAGTGAACTTTGACACTTATTTAAGAATAGAAGAAGTATTACGGAGTTGTCAATTTATCATGAATAACATATACATGATATCCATTAAAAAGACAATTTAGCCCAATATACGTGATAGCACTAGTGATGTGAATTGAAAATTTCACTAAATTCTTAATATTCTGTATATTTTTGAAAACAGGATAAAATTGAATCAAACTAATTAAAAAATCAATAGATTTTTATTGCATTTTAAAATGTAACAAATTCAAACCGTATCAAACTGAAGTGTAGTATAATTTTTCTTAGGTCACGGACAGAGACACAATCGCATCCACCGTTATACCGTTGTGTTTTTTAATCACGAAGGAAATTCACAATGAAAGTAACGGCGGCGGATCAGATCACAACCAATATCGGTGTGATAAGACCATCGAGTGTTTATTGGGTTCCTTGGATTATCTTTAAATCAATTAATTTGTAGTGTATCTATTTTTAATGAATATGTTGTATTTGTTATTCATGATAAATTGACAACTGTGTAATACTTCTCTCGTTCTGAAATAAGTGTCAAATTCACATTTCATATATTTCAATGCATAACTTTGACCATTAATATATACTTAATTCGTCCCTGAATTATCTTCCAAAGTTGGTTTTGCACGGGAATGAAGAAAGGGAAAATTGTGTAGTGAAGACTTGTACTGAAAAGAGAGAAACATGTAACATCGTGTAAAACATTTAATGAACCACAAATTCTTTGAAAAAAAGATTATTTTGAGACTAACGAAAAAGAAATTTGAAAATTAATTCAGGCACGGGGCATGTCTAGTTCTATAATAATAAAAATAAAAAAGTTGAAAATTTACAATGAGACTAATTTAAAAATATTTTTAAAAATAACAACTTATTAATACATTAATAAATAAAGTGAAGTTAAAGTAGAGCATGTGAATATTGTAAAATTCAACATGTAGCATTTATTTAAAAAGAGAAGAAATATGTCATGATTTTAGGACCAAAATATTCTAAATTTATTTCATTAATAAAGCACAACTTGAAACTAAAAGAAAAAATATAAAAGATAGTGTCAGATTAAAATTGTGCTCCATACGGTCATAACAAGCAACAAAGAAATTGTTTTAAAAAAAATACAACAACAAAGGAACAACTTCAGTTTGCTTCACCGTTAATAAGGGGGTGTAATTGCCCTCCTTTCACCGTTTTTTAAGCTTTTTGCACACAAAAATAGTTTAAGAGCTTAGATGCCCTTTGGTGCCAACTTGAAGGGGTTTTTTGCCCCTTTTCCCATTAGTAAACGTTGAGTTAAGCTTTTTTATAGACCATCGTGACCTTACTTTTGCATTATCAGATTTTTTATTTAGAGCTCGTTTGGTAGTTTACACATTAAAACTTTGCATGCAAAATGATTGCATGTAAAGTTTAGGACATGTAAAATTGTTTGCATGTAAAATAAAGATACACCATTTAGTTACCTATGTAATCTATTTTTAAATTACACGCAAAGTCTTTGCAATGTTTGATAACAAAAATAACTTTACATAGTAAAATATTTATAAAAAACTACTCCGTACATCACTTCATGTGTGTGATAGCAAAAATTTGTGGCCATGGCTTTTTCTCCAGCAATATGGTACCTGCAGTTGCCGATGATGCACTCGCGAGTGTGCCATGGCGCTGCTCTCCAGCAGTATACAATGGGTAGAGGGGGATCAAAATGTTATTTTTGTAACTATTTGAAACCAACTCATTATACTTGCCGATGACAAATTATATTACTAATTTTTGCTTCCATACACTTGTAAAAAATAAATGTATGTGAAATAGCAGTTTATTTGAATTGAAAGCACAAAGTAGACATTATAAATTGAAAAGTTTAAATTGAAAATTACTTTATTGTCGTAGTTTCAACTACCAAAACAGTAACACTTTGAAGGAATGTAAAAGGATTAAATAGAAATTCAATATTGTCTTAAAAAAACTAAATGATAAAAAGATCATAGAAAGTCACTAAAATGCCTCTAATTAGATTTCTCTGTTCAAGACAGCTCGGACATAAATCAACTTCGCCTCTTCGTCTGGCATGAGTAAGAAAGAATCCGTTTTTCCTTTGCTAGATGATATAATTCCAAATGCACGTATCGCCTGCTCCTTACTTAAATCTGGCAGATTCATTATCACCTGTAGTATATGTGGCTTAACATCATCAGCAGCATTAAAACGATCAAAAAATGTTGTCACTTTCTCAAACTGCTTGTTTGATGTAGCACACATTTCGAGAACTGTTTCAATTTTTTTTTGGAACACTTCAGCATGTTTATCAAACTCATTCTTCTTTGACTTTTTTGATGGCTCCTCAAATTCCTTCTTGATGGAAATACCAAGAGTCCGTTTCTTATTTCTGTTGATATCAGGCGATGAAAAAATATCATCATTCGTAGTATCGAGATCCACAGCTACACCAAAAAAATCATCATGGACAACACTTTTTGGAACATGAGCTCCTTCTTGAGGTGCACTTTCTTTTCCTAAACTAGTCACCATTTCAGCTGGAGACTCACACTTATCCCCAGTTGCCCATTCAGCACCAAATATTATTGCTAGGTCATCATAATAAGGGAATGACTTGTGTCTAAGATGAACTGACTCTTTATGTCCCTAGAATGACGATATTGATTAAAAAATAAGTAAAAGTCACAAATAACGTATAACCATATTTAACACGTGCAATAATTTAGATATAATACCTTAATCCAAGAAGCCCAAACCTCATCATCACAATTAACCATTTTGGTTTCCTCATTCCATCCAAAACCTGAAGCACCCCTCATCATAGAGAATTCATTATATTGAGTTTTTAAATGCCTTAACCTATTTTTTATATTTGGATCTCCCAAAATATGACAACCAGGGATTTTTGTAGCCATCCACTTCTGCAGCTGCTGATAAAAACCAGTTTTGAATCCATTTTCAGCTTTCCAACCTTGGTTGATCAATTCCAGACAACCCTCAATGAGTATTTTGTCTTCATGAGGAGACCACTGATGATTATTGCGCTTCACTTTTGAACTCGGGGGTGTGATAGTACAATCTTCCATTGTAGACTCCATAACACAAATGTTAAGAACACACAATCATCATGGTGAACACGCAGTCTTGCTTTATATGATGAGTTAATATAAAAAGAAAGTACAACACGTCCTGAAAAAAAAATTATATAGATCGCTAGTATTTTATTATAAATAAAAACAAAGAGTTCTTGCAGCTCATCCACCAAGTGCACAAAGAGTGGACAGATTTTCTTAACAAAAAATCATAACAAATAATTAAGATGATTCCTAACAAATAAAAACGTATAAAACCACTAATATGTTTATTAATTCCTATTAGCTCGACGCTCATTCCATATTTCTTGGGCTAAGTTATCCCTAAATGCAGTCCAAGCTGCAGATGGCTCAATATCTTGTATGCTTGGGGCATTCAACAACGGATCAGAATCAGCATAATCTTCCGGCACCTTATCCTCAAGCGGATCCTTTCGCATCTCCCTTCTTATATGATTGTGAAGTAAAGCACAAGCAGTTATGATTCTACAATACGTCTTCACAGGGTACCACGATCTACTACGAAGAATTGCCCATCTCATTTTTAATAACCCAAATGATCTCTCAATGACATTGCGTGCACATGAATGCTTGTAATTAAACAATTCTTCTTTTGTTCTAGGATAATTTTGTGGACTCCATTCTTTTATGTGATACCGTTGGCCTCTATATGGAGCTAAAAACCCGTCTGCATTGCTGTATCCGGCATCACATAGATAGTAGCAACCTTGAGGAACTACAAAGCCATTTGGTCTAGAAATTGCACTTCTTAATACCCTTGCTTCCGCAGCAGAACCTTCCCACCCAGGCAATATGTAAATAAAATGTAAATCCCGAGAACAAACTCCAAGTACATTTGTTGCTAAATCGCCCTTCCTTGTCCTGTACTTGGGCTTTTCTTGTTCAGGGACATTTATCTGAATATAAGTTCCGTCTAGCGCTCCCAAACAATTCTACATATTAAAATAAAATAGTAGTACTTTGTTAGTAATTAGCTTATTTAACCATTTTTTATTTTGAGGTAAGTTCCAGGTAAATAATGTAAAATCAATACCTTAAACCATTTCCAACGATGTTCTTTACAATTTTGAGGCACTGGTTCAGGCTTCTTAAGCAAAACTTCATGTAGTCTCAAGATAGCAAGCAAGACCTTATTAAAGTTTCTGCTTATTGTCTCACCGCTACGCACAAATTCTCTTTTGGCCACTCTTACTTTGGTATGATGAGAGAGTATATAGAGGAATGAAGCAAGCATTTCCTCAACGGTTGAATTCTTTGTTGATCGCAACATGCCAATGGTTTCAACCATGTCACACAGCACGTAAAATGCCCTCCTATCCATCCTAATGTTATCTACACATTCTTTATCGTCATCCCAAATCATTGTTCTAAAATTTACTCGTCTAATTTCATACCTCTCATAGGCACTTCCTTTTTGACACCTCTTCCTCTTTCGTAGAATAAAAGTGTCTCTATAATATTCTAACATCGCAAGCACAATGAGTAGGAAGTTTCTAAAATTTAACGCAATAACATAAGCTGCCATGCACATTGTAATTTCGTCTTGTTCTGAGCAGTCCATGGTCCACACTAACACCAAAAGAAATATAACTCCATTTAATCAGTATGTAATACATCTTTTTTTATAAAACAAGGGTCCATACTGCACTAGCTTCTTTCACCAACTAAATTGAGGGGTTTGATGGGTTTCGAACTTAAGAGAACAACTTTCAAATTGGAAGCTTTTGTTTTAAGCGGGCTGTGAAATATCTTTAGAAATGATTATATGGCTATGATTATATGGCTTGATTGAAAATTTCAATTTCTAACTTACATATTGAACAAATTATCAAATAATATCACATCATAACCGCAATAACTTGAGGAATACTTAGTATGGGCTCTTTCTGAACACAAAGTATAACTTGGAACTACAACCAAAACAAAATAATACGTATAAAGCAAGCCAATAACAAAAAATTACACAACCAGAAATTACCATCGTAATCATAGAAAAGTTGTTTCAATATAGAATAAAACTCAGAATATTTAATGAATCCAATGACAGAGCAAACCAAGCACACATAACTACAAAACAGGGTAAATACATACATATATATTCGATTATTGGATAGTGTATTTGAGTAATGAAACAGTGCTTAAAACTAAACAATGGCCGCATATAATACAATTCAAACTCATCAAATCTCAAAATACAATTCAACCCTTAAATCCATTCTTCGAATATACGTATATATAGAATAAATCAAAGTTCATTAAAAAAATCAAGGTGTAGAAACTAACCTCTTGGTTAATCTGTAGTCACTAACGCAGATGGAGAAGAGAATCGATGATATGGTTTGACGATTTTTGTTATCTTAAATAGGAGAAAAGATGAGGTTCTTGCCGCCAAGATTTTTTGCTTTGCCGCCAGGGTTTTCAAAGTCCGCCTAGATTGAAATCGTGAATTTCAATGCTCCGTATAAGTATTCACTCTCTTAAAAACGAGTGTAAACTAGTTTACCAGCCTCCCCCCATGTAAAATATTTTACATGGTACAGTGTAAAATATTATTAAAAAAGTGTCCTACAGTTTACATTAAAAAATTAAAACAAACAGTGTAAAATGTTTACATCCCCACACTTTACACGCAAAATGTTTACTTTACACCGTAACAAACGAGCCCTTACATCAATACCCCATTTGATCCTGAGCCCTGACATTTCCCATAAGCCCATAACATCATCCCCAAACACGGACTTACTCCAACCGGCATTGAAAATAGGCATGGCCCGCTGCAATTAAAATGGAGAAATCAGATTGTTCATCGCCACATGAAACAAATCGTGATAGGCAAACAAAGAGCCAAATTAAAAGCAACCAAATAGTCAAATAGTTATGTATATTTATATATACTATGAACAACAGTCCAAAAAAAAATACATGACAGGGATCGTCTTCTACATGAGGACTAGCCGGAAAAATGCCAATATATATGTATCTGGTTCGAATAGAGGTTGCTTATTCAGTCAGACACTCGGACTGATAGATCTTTATTGAGGCCAAAAAAATGGAAGAAGAAGGTATCTGGAAACTGGAGGGCTGCAGATGGTCAACACCTGCAGCAATCATGGAGATAGGAAATAGGGATGAATGGTCTGCCTAGAAGTAACGAAATTTAATGAAGCAGTGTTAAGGTTATCTTTGTCATTGTGTATATAAGACCTCTTTATTTAAGTCCGGCTCATTATGAAGTAAATGGAAATTTAATAAATGCTTGTTAGAGCATCTCCATTCATGATCTCTAATAATCAATTTTTTCTATGATTCTTACCTTTTAAATATTGTTATATAATTAATGTTTAAATAATCTCAATATTCGTTTATGTCTCTCAACCATCATCTTCAAATAATCCGATTTTTTCGTTCCTGCATTGACTTCTATTACATATACTTTTTAAGTAATCTTAAAATAATCTGGATTCATATTTTGATCCCGGATTATTGTAGCAAATAATCTCACTAAATAATTTTTGTCTCTCAATGATGCTCCTTTAAAAAATCTGCCATGTCACTTACTTAATCTCTTAATGATCCTACCAATGGGGATGCCCTTAGTAAGCAATTGCTTAATAAGACACCATTTAATAAGCAACGTTTATTAAGGAAGAAAGTAAACATGTCCTCAGAAAGGGAAAAAAATCCGCTTGTGACTCTCGGCGTTGCAGTGTTGCACAATTGAATAAATGTCCAACATTATTTGTAAAAATTGATTTTTATGTTATGAAAATGATATATACTACGTATTAGTCTTTATTACAAGATATTAAGAAACAAAACGACTTTATGAAATTGACAAGTCGTGATAAGTATCCATATTTGCACACTAAATCCAGTAGGGAATTAGGGATACTTATCCATTTTTGCACACAAAATCCATATCCATTCTTAACGAAATGTGCAAACCTTCATTTTACAGGACTTGTACTCCCTCCGTCCCAAAAAGGTTGACCAATTTGACTTTTCTTGGTCAACGGTTATCAACTTTGACCAATAATATCTTTTAATACAAAATTATTTGAAATATGAAAATTATATGAGCTAAAATTTATAAATTACACATAAATATAATACCTAAAATCATTGTCTAAACTTTAACACCATTGACCAAGAAAAGTCAAATTGGCCAACCTTTTTGGGACAAAGGTAGTATAACACACGAATTATGGTATGTACATGAGTGTAAGGTTGACATGCACTTGTCGTGAGGTGCACTCAAAATAAATACAACACAACACTTATACGTAGTATAGCGTAGTAAGGTTCGTATCCGCAAGGAAAGGAATACTTCTCTTTTTATAACTAGTAATAAGGGGGGGTTTTAGATTTGTTGTTTCAAGAACTTTTAAGAATATTAAAACACAAAGATGAACGAGTTATGTGGTTTAATTAATGAGAAGGAGACTTGGTTTTGCTTTTATCCACTTAATGAAATGTTCGTCGATCCCGGTTATATCTTTAACTATCTTCCTCTCAAATACTCAATCGAGGAGTATGTCCAGATCATCGAGGGTAGTTATTAATAACGAGATGCGTTCATTAATAAAACTTACTATCGAGTCAATATAGAACAAGCGCAGTATATTAACTTGATAGTAGCAATAAACCTAAGATGAAAACGATTGAGATTGATAACCTCAACACAAGCGGTTTATTGGTTTAATCAATATAATTAATTCCCCTTGGCTTATTAACCATGAGAAGCATGCATTAACAATCCAAGTTTACTACCATGGAAAGAACCGAATTAATAATAAGCGTATTAACCGATTGATTCTAGTAATAATTAATATATGAAACAAAACTAGTTGATCCTTTAAGTAATGCTCAAGATATTAATATGGAATATGAATAGGAAGTAATTAATATCTAAGGAAGAAGATTAAAGAAAATAACTCACAACTTACAAATCATTAAGCTTCAAAGTAGCAAAACCAAGA